GCGGCGCCCAGGCCAAACCAAGAAGAAGAGAAAGAAAAAAAAAGGGGGGGGGGGGTAGGGGAAAAGGGCGGTGCACAATAGAAACAAAGAAAGAAGAAAAAAAAAAGGGAGAGAGAGCTCAATACAACGGAGTCCTGAAGATGAGAAAATTTCGATGAAGACAAAGTACATGCCCACAATCCCTTCCTCTCGAAAAAGTCAGAGGCTTGGGGCATGAGGGAAAAATGATGAGCTCAAATTTGACTAGGTCAAGCCCAATCCAAATAAATCGAGAAAGCCCGAAGAAAAGTCCAACTGGACACGGAGTCATGAGCCCGTAAATCAACACGGAGTCATAAGGCCGTAATGAGACCGTAAATCAACACGGAGTCATGAGTCCGTAAATCAACACGAAGTCATGAGGCCGTAAATCAACAAAGAGTCATAAGGGCCACTCGTAAATTAAAATGGAGTCAAGAGGAGCCAAAGCACCAAAGGCCAACGCCGAAGGGGGCGCCGCCCATGGTCAGGCCCTCTTGGTTCTTCCTCTTTTGTCCTACGCAAGCCCAAGCCTATTGCGATTCAAATTCAAGGTCAAGACCAAGTCCAAGACCAAGCTCAAGATCAGGATCATCCTCTGACGAAATAGGGACACAAGCAAGAGAATATCGGGATACAGAGATCTAATCCTACTAAGATTATACTTACCAAAATTGTGGAAGACTTCTCACTCACGTGATCGCCTTACCCTCGCTATATAATGTACATCCACTCAATATTGAGGGCACGCCTCTGAAACCCCTACACACCTCTCTACACACCTTGTTCCTCTCTCCCAAAGCATTGTAACTCCCTCGGAGAACCCTCTTCTGACAACTTTGGTTGATCAATAAAACACTTCCCGCCACCGCAGTCATTCCCGAGAGTGGACCCACTCGGACCGAACCACTATAATTCTCTGTGTTGACTCTTTACTTACAGCATTATCATTAATTGCTTGTTTACTGCTTATTGATTGTCTCCGTTCATATTCTTGACTGTTGATTTTGCACAATACTGATTTGTGCATCATCAGTTATGCTAATATCTTATTGGGTTTACACTATGTATCAGTTATGTTTAATAAGAATGTGTTGTATTTATCTATGTTTGTGTCGATTCATTTATTTAAGAGATCTAATGAGTCCATTCATTATCACACAAATCTATTAAGATTAAGCCACCCTAATTCTGAGTTAAAATTATCCAAATAAAGAAAATTGTATGTCACTAGCCTACAAAGATCGAGTGTGACCCAAAATAAATGCAAATTCGTTGGAATTTTAATTAAATATTTGTTTCATTTGGAATCATTAGATCTAAAAGCGATGACATATACGATTAGGATCACTTTCTATTTTTGTTAGAGACTATTTTTTTTTTTGGATCAAATATTATTGGAGTGAGAACAAATATGTATTTTTAATGTTACATTTTAGCTTTATAGTCCCCAAATATGTAGAGTCTAACACATGGACCCCACGCAATATGTAAGTCTGTCAAATTTCTAGAAATTCACATTTAAAATACATAAATACCCCTAACTGTTTTACAATATTGCAATGTGGGCAAGATCTTAAAATTTTGAAAATATTAAATGTATTCCAATTTTTTTCAAAATTACAGTGGGGGCAACTGCCCCCACTGTGGCTCCGCCCCTGCACTCATACAAGTGCAGTCATCCATCCAAGTGCAATCTACCAGAGTTATCCATAATTAGATATGGGGCAATATGTGTCGACTAGAGGTGACAAATGGATGAGTTGAGTTGATTATAAGTTGGGTTAAATTAGATTAGATTAAAATAAATTCAATTCATTTTTTACTCATGTAGTAAATGAGTTATAATGAGATGAGTTTATAATGGATTGGGTTAAATCGATTAACTTATAAAATAATTAAAATTTTTAATGAATAAATTAGTACATCAAAACATACACACACATATACTAACACAAAAACTAAAATACATTTAATAAAAAAAAATACACAAATAATGGGTTGGGGTGATTGTGGGCTATGAGTTATGGGTCAATCCATAGGGGTTTGTGGGTCGATCCATGGGTTATGGGGCAACCCATGAGTCACGGGTTGGCCAATGGGTCAACCCACGGGTCATGGGTGGTGTATTAGTGTGTGTTTTTTGTGTACTAGTGTGTGTATATTTTAATGTATTAGTGTATATGTGTGTATTTTTTGGTATAATAGTGTATATATTTTTTAGTATATTAGTATATTTATTTAATTTTATTACTTGTGTTATTTAATAAAAAGATAAATATTTAATCCAATGGTTACCCATTTATAATTCATATTAACTCGCTTAATTAAAATGAATGATATTATCTAACCCATTTAAAACTCATATTAATTAATATAGGTACTCAACCCATTAATTTATGAACTAATTAGACAGACTAATAGATAATAGACTAAAATTGTCACCTCTAATGTCGAGATTCATGCCAAATGTTGACATGCACATGTGTCGTTGAACACCTACAACCACACACTCGCACAAGTGCAATCATCCATCCAAGTGTAATCTACCACAGAGTGTGGGCGTGTTCTAATAAGATGGGTCAAACTTTTTATCTTAAAGGTGAAGGTTTGAGTTTTGTAGTCTATTTTGGGATTAAGTGATTCATCGTTATACTAGCGTAATTAGATTTGTTTTTAAGAGAAGTAACATATACAATAAAAAATCTCATGATCTCAACAGTAAAAATTTATTAGAATAATTTCTGAGCGATCTCTTTTACCTCATCCCTTTTTTGATAAGCAAAAAAAATCTATACAAGCGTAACCCACGCCAACACGTGAAACACATGCACCGACACTTGCAACCATATTTTAAAATAAATAAAGCATGAGCTAAAGCTTGCCTATTTATCTTATCGGTTAAAATCCAGTTCAAAAAAAAAATTATTATTTAAAAGAGTTTGAGATCTTAGCTTTTTTCATGCTATTTTGATCAAACTTATCCTGATACTTTTTTTTTTAACGTTCAAATATGTCCACAATTATACATTTACGCAAAAGTTCTATGTATTTAATTTAAAAAATTGATCAATTATAACTGTTGAATTAAAAATAATCCACATTAGAACTCAACATTAATCTAATAGCTATTGAATTGAAAGTGAACTCCAATTGACTTCAGAAGGTGCGATCATACTAGTACTAATGCTCTGGATCTATCAGAACTCTACAATTAAGTGTGTTTGGGCGAGAATAATAATAGGATAGGTGATCTCATAGAAGTTCTCTTGTTGCATAATGGTTATAATGAATTAAGTCTGTGATTAAGTATTTTTATCATTAAATTACGGGTAAGTTTCATCTAACATTAAACTTAAAAATAATGTAATAATTACATTGAATTAGGTTCCGAAATTTGGTCCTACCACTTTGGTCAGCACAAGGCCATCGGTTTATAGTAAACTGATAGAAAATTTGAGCAAGGAGGTAGTGTATAGTACTTGCTTAACTCCTCCTAATAGTGAAAAGAACGGTACTGGTACCTGATGAGAAGAGTGGAGTACAATAATCCAGCATTTTATATACTTTGGGCAGGGACATTTGTCCAAGCCTATAGTGTTGTCTCATGCAAATATATCTTATTATAAATCTTGAAAAGAGTACGTTAGATCCAGTTCACACTAAAGAGGTATCAATCAAGTTATGTTATGTTTAAATCATGTCACTAAAACTTGCATTTGAGACGGGGATAAAGAGAGAGCGAAGGCGAGTTGACAATCAAGTCGTGCCTTCTTTTGGTCGTGTCAATTCTGGTCGTCTCGCTAAGGCCTGCATTTGAGAGAGAGAGAGAGAGAGACCACATGCTGTTTGTATCCCACTTCCATTTCAGGGCCATATAAACCCATTTCTCAAACTAGCTAAGCTGTTGCACCACAGAGGCTTTCACATAACCTTTGTCAACTCAGAGTTCAACCACAAGCGTTTACTCAAATCCCAAGGTCCCGACGCCCTCACGGGCTAGCCGGACTTTCGTTTTGAGACCATACCAGACGGTCTTCCACCGCTCGACGACACCAACGCCACCCAAGATGTCGTTGCTCTATGTGCATCATCACAAATTAACTTTTTGGGTCCCTTCCGCCGCCTCCTCGCCAGAATCAATGACACTGCCTCTTCCGGCGTCCCTCCGGTTACATGTATAATAGCAGATGGTACCTTGACTTGCATCCACAATGCTGCCCAAGAACTGGGGGTCCCTTATGTGAGTTTCTGGACTCTTGCAGCATGTGCTTTCATGGGCATGCGACAATATCCAAGACTCATTGACAAGGGCCTAATACCACTTAAAGTAGGGTATTATCTCTCAACAAATCACAGTTATTCGATTAATTGTAACTTTCAATATCAAATAGAGTTTATTTTCAATACAACAATTGTAGTTGATTTTAAATAACAATTTTCTCATCCAAGGTCAAGTTAAAGAGTTAATGTACGGTGATTGATCGTAATTGGTCAAACAGTCTCAAATTGAGTTTAAAAACTTGTCTATCTTATTGCTTAACTTAGTTTAATTAAACTTAGAATTTGAGTTAGTTTAAATTATCTCCTTGAGATTCGATCTCGTATCACTTTACCTCGGTATGTTTCAAATACATTTTTGTGGCCCTCTTAAAATGCAACAGCTAATGACACTAGAAATTTATTAGAAAAACAATATTACCCTTCATTTTTTTTGATACTTTTTAATGTTTTACAAAATTTTTAATGAATTTAAGTTTGATTCAAAACATAGGGGACGTTTATGTATAAATGGTTAAGTATAGAGAGATAATGTGTCACCGTGTCTTGTTACATAAAAACTAATCTAAAATCTTCCCTTTTGAATTAAATGAAATGCATTTTATGGACGCTGTCATTTTTCTGTTCTATATTTGCAGATGAGAGCTGTCTAACAAATGGGTACCTAGAAACTGTTGTAGATTGGATTCCGGGAATGAAAAATGTCCGTTAGAGGCATTTGCCGAGCTTCATACGAACAACAAACCCAAATGATTTCTTGTTTGGTTTCTCCAAGGGAGAAGCAGAGAGGGCATCTAATGCCACGGCTGTTGTTTTCAATACTTCCGACGCCTTAGAGCATCATGTTTTGGATGCTCTATCATCAATGTTTCCTCGTGTCTACGCCATCGGCCCCTTTCAGTTTCTACTCAATCGCATCCCGGATGGTAATATGGAAATGAAATTTGTCGGATCCGGTCTATGGAAAGAAGAGCCCGAGTGTATTCAATGGCTCAACTTGAAGAAACCCAACTCAGTGGTTTACGTGAACTTTGGCAGCGTTACTATAATGTCATCGCAACAACTGATTGAGTTTGCTCGGGGACTTGCTAATAGCAACCACTCTTTCTTGTGGATAATTAGGTATGATCTTCTTGTGGGCGAATCAAAATTTCTTCCACCGAAGTGAACCTAATAGAACTTGACATTCGATCATTTATCAGGGTAGGCTACCCGAAAAAAATATTTTAGTGGCAAAAAAAGTCCAACCTCAAGGAAAGTTACATTTTCGACGACAATAAGAAATAATGTTGATAAAAACACTCTAATGACAAAATTACTAGCTAGTAGCTAGAAAGTGCAACTTAACCACAAAGCTTTTCCCCTCATTATAGGAGAATTTATGAGGAAAAATATGTTTCGTCCTTGAAAATTTTGTCGCCAATACCCCTTTTTGTTGTAGTAGGGGTAGCGCCCCTGAATCAAAATATTTTAGACTATGTTTTGTTTGGCGTATCATTGTAATTTCTTTATGTTTGTTTTCTTGTCCTAATGCTATAACATGTTGTGGATAATTAGGTATGATCTTGTTTTTGGCGAATCATCGATTCTTCCACCGGGATTCTTGGAACAAACTTAGGACAGAGGCTTCAAATCAAATTGGTGCTCACAAGAGGAAGTCCTCAACCACCCTTCTGTTGGAGGGTTCTTAACTCACAATGGATGGAACTCGACAATGGAGAGCATTTGCTGTGGAGTGCCAATGGTGTGTTGGCCATTCTTTGCTGATCAGCAGACGAACTGTAGATATTGTTGTAGTGAATGGGGCATTGGAATGGAGATTGACAGTGACGTCAAGAGAGATGAAGTCGAGACGCTTGTGAGACTGTTAATGGAAGGTGAGAAGGGAAAGAAAATGAAGAAGAAGGCCATGGAGTGGAAGAAGATGGCTGAAGAGGCCACTGGTCCTAATGGGTCATCGACTTTAAGTTTGGACAGATTGGTGAATGAAGTGTTGTTGTCTAAACATTAAATCTTCTATTTCCAGAAAGATTTGTCATTTTTATTGTTGTTGTTGTCATCCTTGTTGAACACAAAAGAATTGATCAAGTTCATTTGTGTCTGAATGACCGCTTATTATCCACAAATCAATTAGAGTTATGTAACTATTTTTTCCGACATGTGAGAGATGTGTAGAGGAGTCTTAATATCACGGGGTAACTTTCGTTTTTCTTTCGAGGTTATCTGTGAAGGTGTTGTTATTGTAACCAGTCACACTCAACTCAAGAATAAGGGACAGAAACTCACACAGAAGGCACACACGAATTTACTGGGACAAAACTTTCAAACCTTATATATTGAACTCAATAATTTACAAGAACTCTAAAAGCTAGAACGCTCTCTGCTTATCAGAATGAAGCACCCCTATTTATACAGGACTAAGGCAGATGACACCCTCATCTGCCAAGGGGTAGTTACACACGTTTTTGTTATTCCATAGCATACTTGGCTAGCAAGCTTGATTTTTGTGCGACACATGGCAGGCAGTTCCACCTCTTTCAGTAACTGATGTGGAACTGCCCTTCATCAGCATGCATCTGAACTGGATTCAGACTAGGGACGTCCAAAACTGCCTCAGCAACTGTCTTGGTTGTGTCTCAGCATCTGCAACTGCCCACATCCTCCTAATCACATGCATTGGGTAGTCATGTGCCAGTCATGTGCCCACATTCAGCAGTCAGTCTTACTTCACGAACCAATGTGCATGTTGGGTTCAACCCATGCCATGCAATCTGAAGCTATGCACCCACATTGCTTCAATTGAGCCCACCACGTGCTGCCATGCTCAACCGGGTGGTCTCATGCTGCCTTAGTTCGCCCCAATCTATCGAACCACTTAGCCGCGTCATCTTGGTTCCGACTTATGGCATGCCTTGGTGCAAGGTGCCACCAAAATTGACCATTTTGCACCCAAGTCAGTTAGGGTGTGACAAGCCACCCCCACCTGAAGTATCCAACGACCTCATTGGAATAGAAGCATGGTATTGCTTGATGAGATCCTCGAATTGCCACAATGTCGTTTCTTTCTCCCAAGTGGCTTCCTCTAGCGTTTTCCCTTTCCACTTGACTAGGTAATGAGTTCTTCTGTTTTTCTTACTCATTCTCTCAGTCTTGTGGTCAAGGATAGCTTCAGTTATTTCTATGAATTGCTTCCTGATTGTTGGAGGAGCCCGACGCCGAACATATCTGTTGGGATCCTCCGGGTCCTCAATATAAGGCTTCAAGAAGGCAATATGAAAAACTGGATGAAACTTGAGACGACTGGGAAGATCCAATCTATAGGCCAACCTATCAATCCTCATTGTTATAAGGAAAGGGCCGTCATAACGCTGGATTAGTCCCTTGTGTGCAGACTTTCGAGAGATCTTGTTCCAGATTGGTGGGGTCAATTTCAGCATCACTTTGTCGCCCACTTCGAACTCTACTGCCCTCCTCTTCTCGTCTGCCCACTTTTTCATCCTCTTCACCGCCTTAGTTAAACAGTCTTTTCCCTCGTCGGTCTGCTCCTGATTGGCCTGAACAAAGCGGTATGCTACAGGACATCTCCCTTGAGACTTCTACTTGACAACTTTATGCGGGGTAAAATGTTGTTGGCCAGTTGTCAACTCAAATGGGCTCATTCCAGTGGAAGAGCTCTGTTGGAGGTTATAATTGAATTGGGCTACATCAAGTAAATCCACTCAATTGTTCTGGTTTGCTGTGACATAGTGTTTGAGATATTTCTCCAGCATTGCATTAACCCGCTCAGTCTGCCCATCTGTCTGCGGATGATTGCTGGTGGAAAGGTTGAGCTGTGTGCCCAACAGTTCAAATAAAGTCGTCCAAAATCGGCCAGTAAATCGAGTGTCCTTGTCACTAACTATGTCCAACAGAAGATCCCAAAGTTTCACAATATGCTTGAGGAACAACTGAGCAGTAACTTCCGCCGTACATACTTTTGGGGCAACAATGAAAGTGGCATACTTCAAAAATCTGTCTACAACCACAAATATCGAAGTAAAATCGTTCACCTTAGGCAAGCCATTAATGAAGTCCATGGAAACACTCTCCCAATGTCTGCTTGGAATAGGGAGGGGTTCCAACGTACCCGCCACCTTTTTCCTTTCTATCTTGTCTTGTTGGCACACCAAACAAATGCGTACATACAGCTCCATATCTGCTTCCATACGGGGCCAATAATAACTTTCTGTTAGCAAGGCAAAAGTCTGTTGCTGCCCTGGATGTCCTGACCACAGAACATCATGAGTTTCTTTCAGCAACATCTGTTGAAGTCCGCCTGACTTCGGAACATAGGGTCTCCTTCCTTTGGCGTAGAGAACACCATCCTCTACCCAAAATCGCCGAGTCACCCCTTCATGAACCTGCTTCAACAATAAGCTGGTCACTAGATCATCTTTTGTCTGATCTTGAATTCTCTGCAGTATGTCTCCTGCAATCTGGCTAAGTGCAGCAACCATCCCATCAACAACTGGAATTCCACTAAAAGCATCAGTAATCTGATTTGCACTGCTAGGCTTGTACTGCAACGTGAAATGAAACTGGGCAAGAAAGTCCTGTCATCTTGCTTGTTTTGGTGTCAACTTCTTCATAGAAGTGAAGCAGCTAGTAGCCACATTATCTGTCAGTACAAGAAAATGCTTCCCTAATAAGTAATGCCTCCATGCATTGATGCAGTGAATGATTGTTGTCATCTCCTTCTCATGTACTGAATACTGCCTCTCGGTATCATTCAACTTCCTACTTTCAAATGCCATCGGATGCTCATTCTGCACCAGCACCCCTCCAAGAGCAAAGTTTGATGCGTCTGTATGGACTTCAAAAGGCAAATCAAAGTCAGGTAACCGTAAAATTGGGCTAGACGTCACCACCGCCTTCAATCGATCGAATGCCTCTTGGTATTCGTAGGACCAGTTCTCCTTCCTTAGAAGATTAGTCAGCACCGCGAACTTCTTTGAATAATTCTTCACAAATTTTCGATAATAATTTGTCAAACCAAGGAAAGAATGCAGTTCAGTAACCTTAGTAGGGACAGACCAATTTGCAATGGCCTCAATTTTCTTCGGGTCCATCTTCACCACGCACGCAGAAATAATATGTCCAAGGAAAGAAATTTCCTTCTGGGCAAACTCACATTTTTCTGGTTTCAGATACAATTGAGTTTTCCTTAACTTTGTCAAGGTCAGCCTAAGATGCTCAACATGCTCCTCAAGAGTCAGGTTGTAAACAACTATGTCGTCCAAATAAATCACTATGAAACGATCCAAGTATTCCCGAAATACATTGGTCATCAAGTTACAGAATGTAGCAGGGGCATTGGTTAAGCCGAAAGACATGACTAAAAACTCATATGATCCATACCTTGTCACACAAGCAGTCTTCGCCTCATCTCCCTCTACAATTCTGACTTAATGATATCCCAACCGCAAATCCATCTTAGTGAAGAAAATCGTTTTTCCCAATCTATCAAATAATTCGTCAACAAGCGGCACTAGATAGTTGTTCTTGACAGTGACTTTGTTGAGGGCTCTGTAGTTTACACAAAGCCGTAAGGATCCATCCTTCTTTTTCTGAAACAGAACAGGGGCTCCATAGGGTGCCTTGGAAGGTTGAATGAACCCAATGTCCAATAAACCCCCAAGTTGTCTCCTTAGCTCCGCCAACTCTGATGGAGACATTCGATAAGGAGCCTGGGCAGGGATTTTTGCCCCTGGAATCAACTCGATGGCATGGTCAATCTCTCGTCTTGGTGGTAACCTTGCTGGCAATTTTTTAGGTGCCACGTCCTTGAACTCAACCAGTAACTGTTGCACTGGTTCAGGAACTTACAATGCTTTGGACTCCTCTTCCTCAAATAAAACAGTCAAGTATGTTGCTTCCCCCTTCCGCAAGCCATCTTTTACTTGCAAGGCAGACAATATTTCCCCCGAAGACTTGGCCTTAGTGAGGGAAACAAAACAGGGATTGGGCATGTCCATCACGAACATCCCCTGTAAATATGGCATAACAGACACCATTGTCTTTGTAAAGAATTGCAGTCTAAGGATTACCTGAAAATCATCGAGAGGGACTGTCATAAAATCACATGATCCTTGCCGATCACCAACTTTTAAAGGGACTTCTCTTGTGACGCAACATACTGGTTTTGCCTTTGAATTAACAGCCTTAATCTGGCTAGAGTCTTTCACCAAAGCTAGACTAAGCCGCTGTACTTCCCGGTCAGAAACAAAATTATGTGTTGCACCTGTATCAACCATTGTCTGGACAGCCACATTGTTCAGACGAATCTGCACAAACATCAACCCCCTTTTTGCCACTGTCTTCTCTTTGCGAATTGCATTAAAGAGTTGTAATGGATTGACTCGTGTTGGTTCGTCAAAACAATCAGTGTCCTCAACCATTAGGGCACAAAGCTTTTCCTTCTTGGGGCAATTTTTGGCACGATGAAGGCCATTACAAATAAAACAGCCTGAGTCAGCACCTCCCTTTGATGAAGAGGCCTTGTCAGTCAATTTTTCTGAATTGCCAAACTTCTCAGCCTTTTTCTTCTGCTTGTTCTTCTTACGGAACTTGGCTTTCCCTTTTGACTCCTTCTCTAGAGGGTTAGCCTATGTTTTGTAGTCAACCAGCGCGTCTGCTGCGGACATAGCAGCAGGTAAATCCTTCACCCCTTGCCGACGAAGTTCTGGTTATGCCCACGTTTGAAGACCAGACATAAAGTTGAACAACTTGTTTTCCTCTGACATATTTTTTATGTCAAGCATCAGGGACGAGAATTGTTTCACGTACTCCCTCACGGTGCTTGTATGTTGAAGTTTCCTCAATGCATCACGGGCTTGCCAAGTCGTGTTGCTGGGAAGGAATTGCTCCTTCATTTCAACGGACAGAGACTCCTAAATAGTAATTGGAGAACGAGATTTGTCTTTAGAACGTGTTCGCCACCATAATTTAGCATCACCAGACAGGTACATGCTAGTGAGATCTACATTATCAGCATCCAGAGTGCGGACTGCTTTAAAGTAGTGCCCCATATCCCACAAAAAGTTCTCAAGTTCTTTAGCATTACGACTGCCTGTGAAAGACTTAGGGTCAGACACTTTAGCTTTCTGCGTGCTTTCACTGCCAAAAGCCAAAGAAGCATTCTGCAGTGCCTTCTTGAGCACTGAAACGTCTGTCTCGAGGGAACTCAATTTTTCCCCCATATCATCGATCCATGTGTAGATCGTAGCCAGCACGTCAACGACTTTGTTTTTCACTCGACTGCAGTGATCAGATTCAGTCTTTTGAAGTTGTTCATGTGCAACACGCATCTCTTCAAACTGCTGATACAACAACTCAAGTTGCACAGAGAGAGCCACAGTATCACCGGACTGTGGAGGACCAACCAACTCCTCTAAACGTGCCACCCTTTCCCTCAGATTAGCATTCATTCTGCCAGCCATAGTTGATTTGTTGCCAAAACCACGCTCTGATACCAAACTGTCATGAGGTAACTTTCGTTTTTCTTTCGAGGCTACCTGTGAAGGCATTGTTATTGCAACCAGCCACACTCAACTCAAGAATACGGGACAGAAACTCACACAGAAGGCACACACAAATTTACTAGGACAAAACTCTCAAATCTTATATATTGAACTCAACAATTTACAAGGACTCTCAAAGCCAGAACACTCTCTGGTTATCAGAATGCTCAAGCACCCCTATTTATACAGGAGTAAGACAGATGGCACCCCCATCTGCCAAGGGGTAGTTACACACGTTTTTGCTATTCATAGCATACTTGGCTAGCAAACTTGATCTCTATGCGACACCTGACAGACAGTTCCACCCCTTTCAGTAACTAATGAGGAACTGCCCTTCATCAGCATGCATCTGAACTAGATTCAGACTAGGGACGTCCAAAATTGTCTCAGTAACTGCCTTGGCTGTGTCTTAGCATCTGCAACTACCCACATCCTCCTAGTCACATGCATTGGGCAGTCATGTGCCCACATTCAGCAGTCAGTCTTGCTTCACGAACCAATGTGCATGCTGGGTTCAACCCATTCCATGCAATCCGAAGCTATGCACCCATATTGCTTCAATTGAGCCCACCACGTGCTGTCATGCTTAACCGGGTGGTCTCATACTGCCTTGGTTCGCCCTAATCTGTCGAACCACTTAGCCGCGTCACCTTGGTTCCGACTTATGGCATGCCTTGGTGCAAGGTGCCACCAAGACCGATCATTTGCACCCAAGTCAGTTAGGGTGTGACACTTAACTACTTGGAAGTAAAATGATGTTTACTCTACAAAAGCTTCAAATATATATAATCACCTATAAACCTCATAGACAATAATGGACCTAGGAGAAGTGGGTGGAGGGCGACTATCCCCAAATGTTTACGCTCTCCCGTTAACTTTTTCCTTTCGCCTCCTGAAGTCAATCCTCAATTTCGTACATACACATATATTGAATGAACTTAGACTCTCTTGTGACACTTGAACTTGTTCTCTTGAAATAGTGACCACTAAATTAATAAACTTTCCTATAAGAGCCATCCATATGGGTTAAAACATACTCTCTATCAACTGCAAATGGAGCTAAAAATGAAACTATTATAGAGCTCAATAATGGAAGGCTCTCTTTGTACTTCAAGGTCCGATGCAACATAAAATTACTTCTGATAGAAATATCGGTTTGGTATTCAACATAAAATTCTCTCCATCTGCTTAAACTAATAAAATTAATCATAAAGGTGATGAGCTGAAAATTTTAGAATCTTTCAACGTAGGAAATATGATCCATCTTTTTTTTTCAAGTAATGTTATGCTGACTAAATTTTGGGACTAAATTTAGAACCTAAATGATATGGCATAATATTATTTAGAGTTTTTATTGGGGCTCAAATCACATAACACCAATTAAAGAACGTCAAATTAGCTGTCATGTTATTTGGACTCTAAATTTGATTTTAAAATTTAATCAGTGTAGCATTACTATTTTTTTCCCTACATTTCAGTTGTCTCTCTCTCAGTCCCTTCCACTTCTCATCTTGCTTTTCTCTTCGATAAAACGATCTTGGGTGTTTCCTCTTACTTTATTGAATTATTTGATCCTTTAATTATATAATTAATTCTTTTTATTATATTTTGTACTAATTTAGTCCCTAAATTATCAAATTAAACTTGATGTTGTCATTTCATTCAAATTCATCTTCTCAAGGGAGTTAAAGACTATATTATAGTTTAGGAGGCCACACAATGTACAAGTGAGTTTTTATTAAAGTTAATTGTGAATTTGGACGAAAGTGTTACATTTAATCAAATTGCATAATTTAGAATTTAAATTGATGCAAAACATAATTTAAGCGTTTGATTAATACAAATGAAAACTCTATTTTATTTAGGAAAATGCTTCAAAAGTTAAAATTAATACGTATATTATTTTTTAGATGACTGTGAGACGAGTGATTTCACTGAAAAAATTTATGGGCTTCAAGCATCCGAGAGATATGCATTTGAGTTTGCAATTTTTTTTTTTGGTTTTGAAACATTCCTTTTTTTATTCAACGGTTTCGTGGATGAATACACGCCATCAACAAAATGGAACCGTACAGGTGTTTGATTTTCTTGGATCGTGCAGAACCCAGAATATATATACGAGGTCTGATGAATGCACAAAAAAACCTTCCAGCTGCCAACAAATTTCAAAATCAAACAAAACCCAGAAAGGAGAATCAATCAAAATCAATGAATCAGCAGAGAAAACACCACCCAACAAAGCATTAATCCCAGAAAGCCATGCTTGGAATCTTATAGAATGGTGTCCGAATCGATGATCAAGAACAAGTGGGTAGCCACAGTAGCTAGCATATGGATTCAGTGCACAAGTGGTTCACTCTACACCTTCAGCATCTACTCCGCCGCCCTCAAAACCACCCAAAACTACTCTCAGTCCACTCTCGACACAGTCTCTGTTTTCAAAGACTTCGGTGCCAACACTGGGTTACTAGCCGGAGTCCTCTACTCTTCACTTGCATCGCCATCAACGACCGCTACCACATCCACCGCCGTGTACGGTGGTGGTGGAAGGCCGTGGGTGGTGATCTTGGTGGGTGCTGGTCTGTGCTTTGCGGGTTACTTTCTGATGTGGCTATCGGTTGCCGGAGTGATTCCTCCGCCGCCGGTGATTGTCATGTGCCTATTTATGCTTCTGGCGGCTCAGGCTACGACTTTCTTTAATACTGCGAATGTGGTCACTGCTGTTTTTAATTTTCCCAATTATGGTGGGACTATCGTTGGTATCATGAAGGTCTGTTCTCTCTCTTGAATTGATTGCTATTGGTAAAACAAACTATAATATCTCAAAATGTCTATTGATTTCGATGTTCGATCATGTTTTAATTTTCATGGAGATGGGGGTGCCAAGGATCAAAATTTCTTTTCAAAATAGGTGAAATGGTCGAAATATTTTCGTTTTCATGGAGATTGAAACGAAACAATAATGGAATCACAATTATAGTAGGAAAATTTTGATCCGTGGAGACGTTTTGGTGGAAAAGAAACAAAAAATTTGAGCCTTTCTTTGGGTATCTATTGGTTGGCAGTTGAGACCATGTTCTTGACAGTTATTTTTTATGAAAACTTGCTCAGGAGAAGCGCTTTGAAGCAATAACTAATTTTTGCATTTATAATGAGATCATATTGAAATTGTTTGAGGTGGATGCTAAAACTTCTAACTGATTCCATAGCATGATTCTTAATTCGTGATGAAGCCAAACAACAAATTAAATGTTGAAATAAAGCCACATTATCATATACAGATGCTCTTTTTATCTGGGCATTACCTTTAACTTGTAGGTGTTACCTAGCTAGTTGGTAAACTCTCTTGGTAGTACTACTCATACTAGATTGTATCCGCCCTCGCTAGGACTCTTCTAAGATTTGTATGCAAATCATTTTGAAATCATGGAATATGTGCCATCATTAGTCTTGTCCAGTGGATTAAGTAGTTGAATTCAGAGTAGAAGTTTCAAAAAAAATTGTTCACAATCCTTATGGATGAGGGATATTGACGAGGGATGAGGGATAGCCTAACCTTAAGGAATTAACAAGATTCGAACTTATGACGTCTGAGTTTAGAGCTCATCCTAGTTACCACTTAAGCTACCCTTAGAGTTAGCATAACCTGTTTTTGCTTATATCTAAATCGCTGAAACTTTTTTTGTCCATTGGGGAATTCAGAATCTTAGTGGTCCACTTATAGTGGATCGAAACTCAAAGGCATCATCTTGCTGTTTGGATCATATCTCTAAGGGTTCCTACAAGTGGAGTGGGTTGCATCTTGAAGAACAACTATCGGTTAAGATAAAACAGGAGTTGGGCTGCTTCTGAATTACAATCAATTAAGATGGCTAGGATACTTCATTTTTTTCCTTGTCGTGGTTAGAAATATGATGGAAATGTTCTATTCCAAATTTGAGTAGTCCCTTAGGGATCCAAAAAGGTACAAATTTTTGAACACATTCATTTTTGAAATTTGAAAAAAAATGACCTCAATTAATCAATAGTAGTAAATTCATTGGATTTGTGCCTAATTTGCTCCTAAAGTGTTTGTTATGTTTGTTACCGGTGTTCTAGCTTGAAATTTAGTTTCTCACTAGATTTTTTAAGTTGATGTTTTACCTTATTCCACTGTTCCTGTGTAGGGTTTTCTTGGGTTGAGTGGAGCGATATTAATTCAACTATATCAGACAGCACTCAATAATAGGCCGACCTCGTATCTTTTGCTATTGGCGTTGTTACCCACTGTCAATTCTATATTGTTCATGTGTTTTGTAAGAATCTATAAGACAAATGTACGAGATGAGAAGAAGTACCTGAATGTTTTCTCATTGGTTGCGGTGATTATTGCTACTTATCTCATGGCCATAATAATCATAGAGAACACCCTTACTTTGCCATTGTCAGGACACATCATTTCATTTTGTGTACTCATTTTGTTGATTTTATCACCTCTTTTCATTGCAATTAAAACCCAAAGAGTGACCTCCGTTATGATTTTAAGGACTTCCTTGATTGAGCAGAACCAATTGGTGGATGACCAACACCAATTAGATACAGAGAGGATGTACATTAGACAAGATGCTGGTGGATATAATCAGGTTCCTGGTGGTGCTAATCAAGAGACAAATGTGAATAATCTCAAGACTTTGCAATGGGCTGAAAACCTGAATCTGTTGCAAGCCATGTGCACCATTGACTTCTGGTTTTTGTTTCTCACCACTGCTTGTGGTATGGGCTCAGGACTTGCCACAGTGAATAACATCAGCCAAATAGGAGGATCTCTTGGTTACAAAGCCTCGGAAACAACCACGTTGGTATCCTTATGGAGCATATGGAATTTCGTTGGACGTTTTGGAGCTGGCTATGTGTCAGACTATTTCCTGCATGTGAAAGGATGGGCAAGACCATTGTTCATTGCCATCACCCTGGCAACTATGAGCATTGGTCTTGCTGTGATTGCTTCTGGTTTGCGCGGGGCACTATATTATGGCACTGTTGTGGTGGGTGTTTGTTATGGTTCGCAGTGGTCATTAATGCCTACAATCGCTTCTGAGATATTTGGTGCAGCACATTTTGGAACAATATTCAACACGATTACTATTGCAGGTCCTGTTGGATCTTATTTTCTCTCTGTTAGGGTGGTTGGTTATATTTATGACAAAGAAGCATCAGCAAAAGGGAACACATGCTCTGGCACTCATTGCTTCATGTTATCTTTTTTTATTATGGCATCTGCTACTTTTCTTGCATCTCTTGTTGCCTTGGGATTGTTTTTCCGGACGCGAACCTTCTACAAACAGGTTTTACGTAGAAGATTGCAACATTCTATGATGGAGGAAAAGAGTTATAGTACTGAGTGAAAGGTAATTGCTCAAATGCCCTTAGTTTCCTTTATTGACATTTTTTTGGTCTAAACTGTAAAATGATTTCTTTTACCCCCCCTCTTCCCTCGTCAACATATATAGTTTGACTCTGCATTCCTAAGTAGAGGAATTTTGATTATATTTGGATGTTTGCAAGCTGTTTCATCTTGTATGGTGGGCCAACAATATGTTGATCGTAACATTTTCAGTAAGCGGTCATCTTCTGTGAAGCAGAATCATTACTTCAGCAAGATAAATAATCTTCAGTGCCCAATGGGTATTACTCCCCGGTGGCGAGAACCAAAATATCAAAACAAAAATCAGCATCTTAATGAGGCCATCATTCGATAGTGAGGGTTGGCACACAGAATAGTACTACCTGTATAAAGGCAAAATGAAGTTTATAGGCTTGGAGAAGTAGGATCTATTGTTGGGAAATTTGTGGAATAAGACCAGTCAAAGATGAGATTGGAGGTAGATGTGTAAGTAAAATGATGAAGCGAAGAAGCTGGGTGTGTGGGACATCTGCATAGCGAGATTATGGTAGAAGGAAGAACAGTAATATTTTGAGCTCCAATTAAAATGAACTGGCTGGAGATATGGAGACAAGAGACCTTGCAATACTAGGCCACTTTCTCTACTTTTACATCATGGACATAGAGCTTCAGAGCTCAGGTGGTGGTATTGATGAGAGTCATGGTTGATAAGGCGAGAGTAATGTGTTGAGAGTATGCTATGTTTTGAGGTGACATAGCTGAGAAGATTGATCAGATGATCAAGGAGTTTTTTCATATTGTTTGTTGAAATCATGCTTTATGGTTATGCAGGTTTTTTGAGCGAAGAAACATTTGTATTTTCTGCTAAATATCGGAAGCATTTTGATCAGATGGTCAGCCATATAATTCACCTTTCTTGGAAATTTAAAAAAGAAAAAATTAAAAAAAAAATACTATTTTTTCCATGTTTGGTTCGTGCTAGGAAATCCTTTGGGATGAAGGTTTTCGTGCTAGGAAATCCTTTGGGATGAAGGTTATTTATTCTTCTTGATAGCATTATGTTTGTTTTTTCTTTATTTATCTTTTAGTGCTGATATTCCCAGTTTGATACTGAACTATTCATTATGCCACTGGAATAAATTATCATAACTTCTATGGTACTCCTATTCATATCGAGATTGTATAAGTTATTTTCTTGTCTGCATCCTAACCTTGAGTGAGTTACATTATTTCGTGTCTGTTTCCTCCCTCTAAACTACAGTTATTTTGTCCCAAGGGTGCCATTCCACTGTAATCGTTTTTTCATTCCTCATGCTTCTTAGCAGCCACATTTCTAGAAGTTTTTGTAAAAGCTGGAAGTACCGTTCTGAACTGTAGACTGTTGCTTGGATAAATACATCAAAAGCGCAGATAGTGACAATATGCTAGATCGGGGATACATCAATCTCAAGGGATGTTCATGTTATGGCCAAAGAGGATTCTGAATTTCTGATAAAGCTGTCCACCTTTCTTTTAATTGTCTGCCACATATTAAGGATAATTGGAAGGTATGATAAAACAGAGAGAATGAAATATTGACCGCACACATGTCTCTAATAGCATTTTCAGAAGGGTTCATTGTTGGATGGGTTGGAACATGTCCTGTGACTATTGACTTAGAAAATAGATGCTTATCTTTGGAAGTTTAGAGTCTATTGGCATTGTGCTTTGTATACAAGTGCAGAGAAATGACTCATCTTTTACTCCTGAAAAACCTCTCAGCTAGAGAATTTCCCACAGAATGTGGCATTCCCATGAGTACTTGGAGAAGTGAAAAGTTACATCTCGACACATACAAGTGCAGACTTTCGTTTCTTTTTCTTTTTTTTTTTTGAAGCATTTATGTATATTTTTTAAGGTATACATTTTCGTTTTGGGACTTCCTGTTCCTTTTTTTTTTTCCCTGTTTTTGTTTAATTCTGTCCCTTTAAGTTGGATATTAACTGATAACGTGCGATGGTGATTGTATGAAAAAAGTATGATGGATTTACACCTTCTCTTTTTTCTCCTCCCTCTCATTAGCTCGTGCATTTTATTTCAGTTTTGCAGCAAGAAAACCCTGTGTACAGAGATTCCTTGGGTTTTGTATATGGGAATGTTTTGCCTCCCCTGCATCATAATCCAGGTGTTGGACCCATCCTCAAGGTCGTGTCGGGCACATGTGTTCAAGAACACACTCTTCTCTTCACCATGATGTACCATTCAAAGCAAACTGTTGGAAATAGTGGATGACTCATATTCACAAGCCCGAAATTCAATGCCCAGCAAATGGAGCAAAGCAACTCGTAGCACAATGGAGCATGAGTGCAACAGATTCTCATATGTAAAAAAAACAGCTGCTCTCATGAACGTAGAACGAGGGTGGAATTCTACCGAATTATGTAAATCCTCGTGTTTATTGCTCTTCTTTCTTATTGGATTGTTTGTCACACTTTACATTCACACTGAGATTTGCTACGGTCTCTTGTATAAAATAAATTAAATGACTATACATTAGTTATGTTTTATATATGAAAAAAAAGATAATTTAAATATCCAAAGTATCCAAATTGTGTGACGTGTGTGGTGTGAAAAGTCAGCTCCAATCTTAGAATTGTTTTATTTTGAGGGTGTGAAATTGTTTGGCATGCAAATGATTGTGAGAAACAAATCTTGACGTACATTTGAGAAATTTTTATGGCAATTTTGATTCAGACAAGTAAATTTTAATCTATAAACTTGTCTGGAGAATCATCCAATGAACCATTCTGCAAATGTTGTTGCTTCAATTGAGTTAGGCACTATAGAATCACTCCCAGTTCACTCTACAGTTGGACTTCTTGTGATTGTTACTCAGTTTGATCAAATTTGTGGTGAGGAATATTTAATTGCAAAAATCTTTTACAATTTAATTTTTAGATCATAGAACTTACAAATCATTTTGTTTTTAAAATTCAGGCTAGTATTATTTCAATTTCAACTGTGCTGTCAACATAAGGGAGGCTCTTAATGCATTGTATATGAAGCATAGTGTAAACAGGTAGTCCACCTCCCACAACTAAGCAATGCTCCTTGCTGTATTGAAACCTCATTGAATGTCTAATTGTTCCTGTCCTAAACCTTTTCTTTCGCTGGATACAGGTTCCTGCATCAGTACGTGTGAGGAGGGAATCTGCTCTCCCGAAAGCAAAACCAAAGCCATCACTCTCGAACTGTGGCAGCATCAACCCAGTCAGGGGCAGCTCCTCCTTCTGTGAAACTAGAAACAGCTAACTCATCATCAACACCAAAGCCACAGAGCATTGATGACTCGTATACGGCCTTCTTAGAGGACATGAAAGCCCTTGGTGCTCTTGATGGTTGAGCTGATTTAGCCAATGAAGAGGTGCAAGGTGAACAGAAAACGGCAGGAAAGAAACGTGTACAGACAAGAGTGATGCTTCTGGGACATTTTTTTAGCCCGAGTTTATTCTTTGTTGTCCTCAGCCTTGACTTCCTCTGCTATGCTGTCACCGAACAAATCTAATGGCGCTTCATTGTGCAATCTTTGTAATCTCAATTCCTGAGGCAGTGCAGGGTTGGGAGAGCAACATTAATGTTAGGTTACCAAATTTCACATGGTACGGTGAAGTGTGTAGAGTGTCCTGTAGTGTAAGTGCGAGTTTTAGATCTTCATTATATAACGCGTTTTAACATTCTATTGTACAGGTCTAACCCAGAGCAAACAATATTGGACAACACAGTTTTGAGTTGCTACAGTCAGTGTCAGTCATTAACACTAATACTCCGAAAAAGTGAGAGTATGAAAAGTTGAAAGGATGGAAAGTTTGAGAGATAAATAAAATATCATGTTTTGTAAGAAAGGAAAATAAGAAGTATGGAAAAGTAAATGGATTAACTTTCTTTCCAACTCACCAAAATCAATTCCTCCAAAATTGGAAGGAAAGTGGATGGAAAGTTAATTATTTGTGTTGAGATGTATCTTATTTGTCTATATATCTTATGTATACATTAATTTCATATAAAAATACAATGGTAAAATATGTATATATATTTTTAAAAATAAATTTTAAAAAAATAAAAATTTTAAATTAAAAAAAATATTTTTTTTTCATCTTAACTAGGGGTGAAAATTTAAAAATTTTTGACTCAACACAATGACACGACTCGAACTCGATACGAAAATAAAATGGTCAACTCATAATTCGACATAACACAATTAGTTAAATGAGTTAAGTTAGATTTGACTAATATTCTACGCAAACTCGTAATAACTCAACACGAATCTGACACGACACGATTCGGCTCGATTGTTACCCCAAATCTTAGCCAGCAAAAAAAAAAAGAAATAGTCATTTTTATTTTTCATCCATCCAACCAAATACAAAGGAAGGAAAGTGTATCCTTCCTACTTTCTATCCTTGAAAGATAAAAAATGTATCATTCCTACTTTCCATCCTCCCTATCAAATGGAACATAATAGTGTATAGACTATCAGGACAGAGCCAGAAAGTCAGGCCAGGGTGGGCACAAATTTTCAACAAACTAATTTTTCTTTTTACAATAAATAGAAATAAGACAATAATTTATATTTAATTAGATAATATTTAAAAGTTCATTAAATCCAACATACCAAAATTTAGTAAGTTTAATATATATAAACGACACAATTTTTTTTTTTACAAAATATAGACTAATTAAAATTATTTTGAATTGATTCTGATGAATTTTCATATTTGGAAACCGTTGCATAACAACTTTATTATTTTTTATATACACCATCATTTTATCACTTTGGTTTTTATATACATAACATGTCCAAAATGTGTTAAAAAAATTCATGTTTATTTGATATAAGTGTACACTAATTGATGTGCCAAAAAAATAGGGTGGACTTAATTAAAAATATTGAAGAAATACTTGAAATATATATAGCTAATGTTAAGAAAAAAAAATTGAGGGTGGAAATATATATCCCCCCCCGGGGCATATGCTGGCTCCGGCCATGCTCTCTACTAAATTCATCAACTGTGCAAGGAATGACAAAAAAGTCAAAGAACTGAGAAATGAGTTTTTCTCTGTTTCTTCTTGTCGGACAATTAATAATGAGTGAGACAGAGAGAAAAATAAATAAATAACTAATAAGATAGGTGTTACTAATATCTGTTAAGTGAACCAAAAACTTTATTTTTTAATGATGGACCAAAAATTTTATTTTTTTAATAAGTTTGGGTGGATGGTGATAAGTCAAAATTTTTATTTTTTAATAAGTTTTAGTAGATAGTGGTGGGCTCAAATTTTTTTATTTTGAATGGACTTAATTTTTTAATTCTTTTGAGTAAATAATGTGGGTCTAATATTTTTATCTTAGATTTTAGGTGAGCACAAATAATATATTATACAAATATATAATATATATACTTAACTAATAAAAAAAAAAAAAAATTGAGAGGGGACTTGCCCACCCTGGCCCTACCCTACCTCCGCCCTCGGAGGCTACATGATCTATACATCCCTTGGTGCACCCAGTCCAGCGCCGTGGTGACTCACAATGTGGCAATTGGTGAAGTATGTGTAAACATTCCCGCATTATAAAGTTCTATAGACTGATAAAGTGATCTTAAAAAGAAATGAAAGTCACGTAACACATACAAATGCAAGTGCTTCTTACATGAATGTTTCTTGGCTGGTTCAGGCTACAGCTGATTTTTGAAGTTGCAGTGTCTGGTGTCGCAGAGAGATGGCACTTGCATGGTCTTTCTTTCATCATTATCTTCAAATCATATTTTGACATGTGTGTTAATTGCAACCATCCATCTCTTTTCCTACTAACAACTCATCATCTATTTGAACTTATTTAAGAATTTATTTTTACTACCCAATAATTTTTCATTTAACCTTTCAAATAAAGAATGAAAAAAAAATGATTAAGAAAAAATAACAAAAAAAAAAGTTATAAATCTCGTACATCACACGGGGAAAATTTGCTTTCTCATATTACACATTAAAACAATTTGTTTGAATTTTACATTGCGTCAATTATATTAACTCTTGTCCAATTTTTTTAGGAAAAAAACAGGTAAAAAATAATGAAATTCCGCTAAATTAAGGAAAGAAAGACGACTTCTCATAATATTAGAGGAATATATTTTTTTGTTGATTTATTGTGAAAAATTGAATATAAATTAACTATAGATCTAACGTAAAACTCAAATTTATAGTTAAAAGTACAATGACATAAAATCGATAATTTAGGAGAGAACATGGAAAAAACGATGGATATAACTCAGAGAACCATCTTCTTTCCAAAACCGAAAAACCAAAGCAGGTGCCATCTCTTCTGCGACATCAACCCTCAACCTCGTTCTTGTTTCCGCCCCTCCTTGGTGGATTCAAGAAAGCACAACCACCCTTTTTATACACAAACAGAATAATGAGAGAGAGAGAGAGAGAGAGAGAGAGAGAGAGAAGGGTCCTATTAGCACTTTTGTGGCGGCTTTTTTTCTCGTGCTCTTGTTTTCTTCGAGGAAGAAAATGGTGTCTCAATCTATGAAACACATGATAAAAGCTTGGGCACTAAGTGGTAGTTATGGGCATTTGCTATAAAATATGTTTTTAGTCATGATGATTAAGGTTCCACGTATTCTTTAATGAAGTACCATGAAAAGCTATGCATATTTTAACTTCAATTAAAGAAGAAACATTATTCTTACATTACAAGTTGCTATCATAAGAGAGAAAGTGAAAGTTTGTGGTCTGTGGGGGTTGCAGAGGTCCGAGGATATGTTTTTTTATTGGGTTAATTATAATTTGGCCCCTCCAACTATACTTCTTATTGTAATCAATTCCCTGTAGTTTCACATGTTGCAATTTTTCCCCTCAGGGTTTCAAGAAGACTAAATTGACCTATGACAATGGTTGAAACATGAAAGTACAATTACACTTTCCATTTTGTATATTATTTCTCATATAATTTTTTTTTTTGAGATATCAATTTTATTCCTAAGGAAACAAAAAAACCAAGAAAAAAATGCATCTAATATCATTATATTAGATTTTCTATGGACTCTGCACACCACTTACTAAGTAGTGTGCTAAACTCGTCCTAAATTTTTTCTGTCACTAAGGGTTGAAATATTTAGGCAACTCTACTATCATATATCCTCTGTCTTAGTCAACTTGAATAAGCGCCAAAGTCCAAGTCGGCGTTGATAATCAAACCCAATTGTTCGAGTTTTGTTTGACTAATTTTC